ATATATATATATATATATATATATATATACACCACAAGCCATTCATCCATCTATCGTTCAATCTGAAATGTCTCCTTCTCTCTTCCCTTAAAGGTAAGCAACAATTCATTGGTAGGATCCCCACGGAGTGTATCCCGCACAAACACCACGTCCGCCACAAATCCCACCATCGCCAATGCCCCACTCAACACTCCACACACAACATTTGAATACCACAGCCGCTCCCGCACAACTCCTTCCGGCAGTTCCACAAATAATGCGAGTGGATTCTCTTGAAATGTAATTGAAAATGTATCCGCCGCCCGCACCGGCTCTACTGTGGCTTTAATATTCAAAAACATACGCAGTCCAATCAACGCAGCACTCTCCGCGGCCTGTGCGAAGGTGCGGCACGGTGGGGATCCACTGCGGGCGCCGAACTCCTCCACCAGCCGTGCGCCAATGCGGCGGCCCATCGCGTCTAATTGTTGATTGACGGTTTCTACATTGTCGGGCTGCGGGAGATCGGCGAGCATTTGCTGCACGAGAGCCCCGTACGTGATGGCGAAGAACTCCGCACTGACTTTCTCGCCGCTTTCAAAGGCCTTTTCGCCCTCCTTCGCCGCTGTTAACGAGCGGGAGGCAGACATTAGAGAGGTTGGGGGGTGGACTATGGGTGTCTATTTACTTTTTTTTCTTCTGCTTCTTCTTATTATTAAACTTCCTTTTCTTTCTTTCTCTCCTTTCTCCCTCACTACCTCTCTCTTTTTTTTTTCTTTTTCTTGTTCTTTCTTTCTATACAATATGTGAATATATAAAGGAGGATGAAACAGTTAAGTTACAAAGCAAAGATGTAAATAAGAAAAAAAAAGAAGAAAAAAAAAAAAGTGAGTCTTGTTGTCAGCAGTGATAACTTTACACTTTGATTGTATAATAATATTAATAATAATAGCGTAAATAGGGTGTTTTTTTTTTTTTTTTTGTGAACTTCTGTGTTTGAATGTATAAATCTGGATTGACTTGATTTTCTCACCTATCATCATTTATCATCATCATCATTATTCCCAGATTGTGCTTGATACATAACCAAGCAGTTTAATGTACATCGTCTCCTTGTTTTTCTTTTTCATTCACTCATTCCTCACATCTAAACTTCCAGCAACTTCCACAAACAAAGACAAACAGACAAAGACAAGATTTCAACGCATAGAGAAAGAGAGAAAGAAAAAGAAAAAGAACAAGGAACTGAGACGCAAAGAAGAAAGAAAGAAGGAAAGAAAATATAAATAATAAGAACATCTTATACTTTTCGTGATCCTCTCTTCTTCTTTGAGGCACTCTGCGCCTTTAGGAACTTTACACGAGTCATATATGAACGGAAACAGGCTTGTATAGTAGTAGCATACATCTTTGCCTTTTCCCCCATTTCCTCATAATGTCTATCCCGCATAGACTCTATATACTTCTCCAGTTCATACTCACCCTTCTCTGTACGCAGTGCCCCAAGTTCCTTATCAAGACCCACAATCACTTCTGTATCCTCTTCTGCCTCTTTATTAAGTGCAGCAGTAGCAGCTAACAGGGTTGCCATCTGTGCATCATATTCTGTGATGGCTGCACTGACAGCTGCCTCTTTTTTTCCTCGTTGGGTACGCAATGCGTTTGACTCTTCCTGATTACGTGCCACCATTGTAGCCAGTTTCTCTTCCTCTTGTTGTTTTTGTACTTTCAGTTCCTCTAAATGTTCCGCCTCCTGTGTCCGGCGTTCCTCCTCCATTTTGTTGTTTACATCTAGAAAAGCATTCAATTCCATAGCCACCACACTACGTGTGTACTCAATCTCCTCTTCTAACTGTTGAATCTCTGCATCTAATGCCGCTACTTCTGCTCGACGAGCTTCTCGTATTTCCTGATATTCACGTTTTAATGCCTTTACATCTGCAGACGTCGTCTTCTCTTTATTCACTGCCTCGTGTAAAATGCGGTAGTTGTGTATATCTTCATTCACCGTTGTCTTATTCCGCGTCGTCACGAGACCCACGAGTCCCTCCACCACTCGCTGCAGCGCAGGCACGCCGGCGTCTGTGAACCGCACCAACGACGGTGGTGGTCGGACCGCAACTCCCAGCAGCCGCTGTTGTTGTTGTTGTTGTGGGTGTTGCGATTGTGATTGTGATTGAGAATACGACTGTGATTGAGATTGATATTGAGATTGCGACTGTGAATGAGACTGCGATTGCGATTGAGAGTGTGATTGAGATTGTGAATGTGTGAATTGTTCCATGTAGCCTCCCTCGCGGAGTGTGTCCAACACGGCACGGAAGAGCGTGTGATGTCGACTCAACTCCGCCTCCTCCACACTTCCCACAACTGTGGCCGCCTCCAATACATCCTTCTCCAATTCGGCGAATTCCGTCATTTGCAGCAACACTTCATTGCGGTCCACATCTGTGGGATCGCCGTAGTGTTTGGCCACGCCGTAAATCAGCCGGGCGATGCGTTCCTCCTCGTCCTCGTCGTCCATCGCACTCTCCTGGTCGGCTGCGGTGGAGATGCTGTTGGAGTTGATCGTATCCTGCACCGCCTCTAGACAGACCTTGCGAGTCCACGGACTCAAGTCTAACGGCAAACACGACACCATCTCAAGATCCCGCACGAGATCTCGCAGGACGTATTCTATTTTGTCGGCTTGTCGCCGCGTTAAGGCATCCATATCCATTTTTAGTTTTTTTTTCCTTTTTCTTTTTTGTTGTTGTTGTTGTGATGGTTTGTTTTCTTCTTTTTACTCTTTTTCTTCTTCTTGTTGCTATGGCTATGGGTATGGGTATAGTTATGGTTGTTTATCAGCTAGACCACGACTATTACGACTATTAGTACTATAGATATGATCAGTAGATGAGAGATGATATCAAAGAAAAAAGAGAGAAAGGAGAACAATATACGGAAATAAGGTGAAATGAGGAAAAACAAAAATAAAAAAAAAATATCAGAATAAAGAAAATATATATATATATATATATATATATATATATATATAGTACGCTTGTGTACGAGTGGGTACATGTGCGTAATGTGTGGTGGAAATACGAATGAAAAAAAACACACAAAACACAAAGGAAACGCATATGCAGACACAATCACAAACACACAAACATACACTTTCTTTCCTACACACACACACAAACCAATACACAAAGAGATCATGAGATGGGTAGGGGCTAAAAAAAACCCCAAGAAATGATGGGGAATTGATGACGATTCTTATGAGAGAACAAAGAGAAACAACAACAGGAAAAAAAAAAAAAACGTAAGAAAGAGAAAACAAAAACAACACTAAATAATTTACTATCATTCTTTTTTTTTAATATATTTGTTCTTGCTATTCTTTTGCTTTGCTTGAAACGCATATATATATATATATATATATATATATATATGGATGCACGTTGGTGCATATGTAAATAAGAAAAACGAATAAACCATACTATGCACAAGGTCCATAGTAATGGAAACAGACTCCTATACATGAATGCAGACCTACAGAGACGATAGGAGATCGAAGGAATAAAGTATTCAACAAAACAGCAGAAACCATTAAAAGAAGTCAAACAAAACAAAGAAATGAAGAAACAAAGAAAAATTGTTCCCCTCCCTCTCCCCTAAAAAAAAAAAAAAAAAAAAAAAAAAAGAAATTGTTGTTAACTTTTCCTTTTAATTTTTTTTATTGCTTGTTCATATACGGTTTTCTCTTCTCTTTCCCACACTTCTCACCATATTGTTAACCCCTCTACTCTTGATGCTACCCACTTTATAGACCCCTTTATATATATATATATATATATATATGTTTTTTTACATCACTCCCTCATATCTTTTTTCTTTCTTTTTTTTTCCTTTTTTCACTCTCTGTGTATGTATATATATTTATATATGTAAGTATGTATGGATGTTCAAGATACACGAGAGCAACGACAAAGCATACAAATACCTCCTTTTTTTCTCTTACTTCTTTTACTTCTCTTTCTCTTCTTCTTTTTCAAATTAGACCTATCAAACAAACAAAAAAAAACTTTTTTCGTTTCTTTTTGTGTTATGGGGACTCTACTCTACTTCTGTCCACACGACATTACGTTCTCTATTTTATTTTACTTTTTATTCCTTTTCTACCCCTTTTGTTTTTTTTTTTTTTTTTTTTT